TATATAGATATATGTAGATATTATACCGGTATATACTGTATATATATATATATATATATCTACATACTGTATATCTCCATAGCAACAAGCAAAACCAGAGCATTTCCAAAAGATTAAATGTATACAATACAATGTATTCAGGGAATGTGTTCACAGCTCTCCACACAATGTGTTCACAGCGCTTAGCCACACAATGTATATTTTTTATCCTGAAACAGCCATTCGTCCTCTAAGGTTTATGGACAAGTTAAACCTTAGAGGACGTACAATGAGGACGTACAAAGAGGACGCGCAGTGGCTATACATTTACCAATATGATTGTTCAAGCATAGAAATTGTTTCAATAAAACAATGCTATGTTTGAGAAATGTATTACATTAAATAGGCAGTTCAATTAAAAATTGACCATTTGCATTGATAAGGGCCGATCGGTCCCACCCAAAACATTCCCTGCCACGTGTATCTGGTCAGGTGGGTCTTTGTATTACATAGTCCCCACCTGACCAGGTTTACTGGTGGCCACATGGGAATCAATACAATCATTTCATCGATCATATAACTAAACTGAATTGAATGCGAATCACAAACCATAGACTTTCCATTGAATCGGATTAGCATACTGTTGATCAATTTCGACTATGCCAAGTCAATCAGCCATGGCGGAATCTTGCCACTTGCTTTTGATTGGTCAAACCAGTTTCTGCGTGTTTCGGAGAAGTTGTCAATTGATGGAGCAATCTTTTTTTAATATTATAAAATAACTGATACATTGTATTTTGTTCAATATTTTCAATTTGCAAAATGTGTGTTGCATCATTCGATAATGTAAGCAATTGCGAATCGCTTGTTTGCCTGCCTAGATCAATCACAAATCGCTATGTGTATGGTCACCATTAAATTCTGGATAGTAGGAGCTATATGGCAGCAGATCATTCTTGTAGAGGGACCAATCAGAAAGTCTTTATCACTATATTAGCATCAGGCTTTGGTGGTGCCGCAATGGCATAGCACACCTTGAGGCCTTGTAATTCCTACTATCTAATCCTGATATACTGCACTGGAATTCTTATGTTCTGGCTGCATTTGTTCAACACATATTTCATGGGTTCTGGTCTGGAGCCAACATTCGGAATCCTGGCTTTGTAACAGTCCCCCCCACCACCCCCCAACAATGCCATGTCAATGGATTGCGCTGCATAGACCCCCATTCACTCATGCTGATTTCAGATACATTCAGTGACACAGTCCTAATACATCCTGTAATCTCTGCTTTGTTTTTTGCAGATCGATAATAAGCTTTGCAATGGGACAGACAAAGAATGTTTATCCCCCACATCTAAATCAGTCAAGATGGACACTCTCAAGGTAAGTGAGCCTGTATGGCTATAGAGATCGCGTCCAGGCAATAATAAGTTAAGTTAAAGCTACCAATGAATTGCTAGTGCTGTGCAGTAAACACTGCAGATGTACTAAAATCAGAATGTTCTTTTGTTGCTCCTTAAAAGGTATCTGTGGTCAAAAGCTTCCAATTGTGAGGCAGCGGCTTAGTATTGTCAGCCTGCAACAGGAAGTGCTGTTACTGGCAGGATCTCCAGGGAAGAAACTTTGAAACGGATTCACGAAAAATAATTTGCTTATGAAAACTGTATACAGGGAATCATGATGCCAAACAATCCCTATAATGACACAGCCTGAAATTGTTGCCTCAGGCGGTCAACTCTTTGGGTCACGTGGAGGGTCGGCAGACTCTTTTCGGCCACAGCATCCCAGGTTGCTAAGAGCTGGGCGCGGAGATGTGTAAGGGCCATAAATGTCCCCCCTCCCAGCTCTTAGCAACCTGGGACACTCTAGCCAGCATCCTGCCCAGCTCTTGGCAACCAGTGACGTCAGAGGCAGAGTCAGCAACGGAGAAGCAAATCACAAACCAGTCTGGGGTCAAGTCAAAGGTTAACAGCTGAAGACCATTCAGAAACTTCCAAGCTTAGCACTATTCCTTAAAGAGGTCACCTGGCACCAAGTGTAGAATTAGGATTACACGTCCGTGTTCCTGCATGGCCACGTATCTAAGCAACGTACCCTTGTAGATTAGCGTGCTCACTTAAGTTAGCATGCTTGCAGGAATTATACTAAGCACGTCAATTAGCCTGGGTACACGAATTAGCGAGTTTATGAATACGTCTGTGCACATGCAGCTAGCTGGTAATAACTCTTGACCTGTGCATTGGTGTATATGCACCTTGTCTTATGATGTTGTCCTGATAGGAGTCAATTTAAGCACTTCTAGTTGAGGGCAGGTGTGTGCTGCAGCATGACACGAGCTGCAGTGCTGTGCAACGACCAGCAGGTGGTTAAGACTCAAGGCTGATGATTCCAGAGACACATTTTCAAAGGGAAGAGCTACTGCTGTGCTTTCCTTTTTGATAATTCAGAATGCTCAGCAAAGCCAGCTTAATGGGTGCCCCATGTATTAAATGTTTATTGGTAGACTATAGATTTGATATAAATAAATATTGGCAACCTACTGTCTGAGGCTAATGGTACATGATATTTGGTGTCCGGCACCATAATTTAAGAGGCATGATTTAAGGTTGGTCCTGACACTAACATTTGGGGGGAGGAAAAAAATCCTTTAGTGTCACTTTAAAGCTAAAAAAATAACAATATTAAACAAAATTATTGGTTGAGGAAGTAGTAACCCCCCCTCGAAACTTGTTGCACGCTTATACAGGTTACTCAATACAGATGATTTAACATGTTCTGGTTTAGTGAAGTTTTATCATATTCGGATACATTCCAGGAACTGGACATACCCATGCTGAGTGTGAAGAAGTCTGTATCCAGCTCAGCCCAATTATCTCGCAATTTGGTGTTGTCAGTATAATTTTGAAGTGACTAATCATCTGCCATTTTTTTATTTTCAGGTGCAGAAGAAGAATTATAGGCAGGAGAAGAAGAGAGCCACAAAGCAGCTATTCAGTGCTCTCAAAGACCCCAGCGTGGTGATTGTGGCTGACTGGCTGAAGGTTAATTTATAGAATCAATTCCATATGACCTCCTGTAATAGCCAACTTGGGAACCAAGGGGCAAAAAGTATCATCAAGAAGCTGTGGCTTTGTGGTTGATTCCTTCCTTAAATGGACCTAAAATAATTTAAAATGCAACTCAGGCCTACTGCACCTACCTCCCCTCCAGCATTGACCTCAAGCTCCCTCATAAGATCTTCACCTTGTCTTCTTCTGGCTTTAGCACCTTTGGCCATCTTGAATGACCAGCCTGGTATGGCACAGCCCCCGTGACCAATCATTTGTTCCGGTACCAAAGGCATGCCGATATTGTCCATAGTAATTCATCCCAACACTCAAGTTTCACCTTTTAAAGCACATGTGTCAAACACAAGGCCCAGGGGCCGAATCTGGCCCACCAGGCCATTTTAGATTTCTTCTTTCAGATCTAGGTATTAAGTTATTAATAAACCCAGTGATAATCGAATGCAGAGGCAATTATAAAGATTGGATACATTTATATAGTCTTACAGGCCCTTTGAGGGCAACCATAATGTTGATGCGGCCCACGATTGAATTGAGTTTGAGTCTATCAAGCATTGGTGCTTTAAAGGGATAGAATTTCAGTGATGGCCACAAACAAAGCCATTGTTTTCCTCTGTACTAAAAATAAAACTACATCTACTGGTTAGTTGATTGTGATGGAAAATGGCGGTGTTAGGCAACTGGTCCGAGTAAGATCTTGTAGGATTAGAATTGTCCATCATCTAGAAATGTATCAAAAGTCCAAAAAAACAAACAAACCACAAACTCATTCATGTTGGTCATAGCTTCCCAGAAAAACAAATGAATGAACATGACATTTGTTGATCTGGTTAAAAACAATTAGTCCCACAGTAGAGGAGTACTTAACTGGGGGATTACACGACTGGAATGTGGAGGCTTTGGATTTTAAAAGGTTTATTGTGTTCAATGGAAAATATGAATACGTGAGGACTCATCTGATTGGTGGCTCATGGTGTAGGTACAGGGAAGGCAGACTTTAACATATCCAATGCACATCCAAAGTTCAGTCACAGGGAGTTCTGCCACCCATCTAATTGTCCACAATTGGCTGTGGACAAGTTTGGAGAACAACTACACTTAAACTGTATCCCCGGCCAAAACGTTTTTCTTTCGCTTGGATCAATTCCTGTCCTAGAGACAGAACAGGAAGTGAAAGGAAATGTTTCCAAACTAAGGGAAATCCCCTCTTAGATAGTTGTTCACAGAACATATGTCTCCAGTCTGAAATTTTGGATTTTTTCCATCACCGTCTGTCTTGGTGACAATGGTAACCAGGACAGGGTAAATCTCTCCCGCTGGACACAGACAACAATATAAACACAGCAGAGGTTCTAATACCTTCATATGATCTTCAAAACTAAGAAAAAAAATTATTTGACTGCAGATACACAATAAAAATATTTGATAAATAGGGCCCCAACGTTAGGTTTTACATATTTTTTTTAATTGGTGGTTGTTTCCTGATCTCTTTTCCTGCTACTCAATTACTAGAACGTATTAGAACTTATGAAAGTATGATTCTTAGAAGCATTTGCCTTGTGAATCTCTGTGAACATTTGTTCTGTGCAAGAAAAAAAAACCATATGTTCTTAGTAGATTTTCTTTCCAAGTCGAATGTAATATCAAGAAAGTACCGCATTACGGCCACTAGATGGATCGGAGGAGCATAAGAAAGAAATACTTCTTTCCTGTGCTCCTCAGCTCCATCTAATGGCCATAATGTGGTATTGCATTACATTGAATCGGAAAAATAAAATATACCTAGAACATTCGTTTTTGCCTCAATTCGCATAGGAAGAACGATAGATATTCGCAGGGTGAGTGGATCTGCGAATAGTTTATGAATAGAAATGTAGAGAAGTCAGCAGCACACCAGCGATTCAAAAGCCACAGTCCTTTTTTTAAAGAAACATAACCTTCCATAGTTTATAAATAGACCCCTAACCCAATGCCTCGAAATTAGCAGCAGTGTTGTCAGCCTGCCTCCTTTAATTGGCAGCTGGACCTGATAGACAGCCCAAATGGGGGCCCAAAGACACTTTATAGACTGTATAACTCATACAACTCTTTGACTGACCAGTTTTTTTTTTCTCTTTTTTGAAGATTCGTGGATCACTGAAAAGCTGGACAAAACTGTGGTGCGTCCTGAAACCGGGGCTGCTCCTGATTTATAAAACACCAAAGATTGGACAGTGGGTGGGAACATTGCTCCTCCACTCCTGCGAGCTGATCGAAAGGCCCACCAAAAAAGACGGATTTTGTTTTAAACTTTATCACCCGCTGGATCAGTCCATCTGGGCAGTTAAGGTATATGACGTTCAGTGAACCTTAAAACTCAGCCAACGGCTCGTACCCCTCCCATGTAACATCACTGGGCGGTCTGTGTGTTTCAGGGTCCGAAAGGTGAGAATGTCGGGTCCATCACTCTACCTCTACCCAGCAGCCACTTAATATTCCGAGCAGCGTCTGAATCAGATGGTAAGAATGACAATTAAATTAGAGAGAAGAACATCCGGGCAGGTGTCTATTTCAAGGTTTATTAATTTCTAGTTTTATTAATTATTATTATCAATTACCTCTTGGTCTGTAATTTATTTCACTTCCTGCAATAGGGTGACAACTATGTTTCTTCTGCAGTAAAATCGCTCAGCAGCGTTGTCACCGATTCTGGCCGGAACGCACTCGATCGCATTGCGGCCGGCCCACTTTGTTGTAGTGCGGGAGGAGGTGTTGCGGTGCTATGAAGTGAATGGCGCCGTAGCCACGCCCTCCAGCCGCAATGTGATCAGCCACATGGGAGTGCAAGGCACATCAATGCCTGCGGTCCGGTCAGAAAAAAATGCTACAAGCACTATTTTTTCTGACCAGACCGGAACGCAGGCATTGATGTTTCACGTGTTCGCACTGCGGCTGAAGGGCGTGTCTGCGGCGTGTCACCGCCACGCCCCCTCCCGCCCCACAACAAAGTGAGCCGGCCGCAATGCGATCCAGTGCGTTCCGGTCAGAATCGGGCCGGAACGCACGGTGGCTGCTGTGAACTAGCCCTTACGGCTGATGCTTTGATACATCCAGCTCATTACTGTTAGGGCACATTCACACCAGATGCAGTGCGTTATGGTCCGATTCTGGCCGGAACGCACTGCATCGCATTGCGGCCGGCTCACTTTTTTGTGGGGCAGAAGGGGGGCGTGGCGGGCCATTGAGGTGAATGGCACCATAGCCACGCCCTCCGGCCGGAATACGGGCAGCATTTTGATCTCACCGGACCGGTCTGCAGCTACAATATACCTTGCGATCCCGTGCGGCCGATCTCATTGCGGCCGGTGGGCGTGGCTACGGTGCCATTCACTTCAATGGCCCGCTACGCACCCTCCAGCTCCACAACAAAGTGAGCCGGCCGCAGTGCGATACAGTGCGTTCCGGCCAGAATCAGACCGGAACGCACTGCATCTGGTGTGAACGTACTCATAGATGGAATGGGAATCTTTCCTGTAACATGTTGTGTTGCTTTTCACACGGCTGTAACAATGTAGCAAGAATCAGCTGCTGTCTGTAGCTGTAATGTGTCCGGAATAAAGAGGAGAATTGAATGTCTGTAATATGAAGTCTTGAAATATTTTGCATTTCAGGGAGATGTTGGATGGATGCGCTGGAATTGGCTCTCCGCTGCTCCAGTTTATTCAAGATCAATTTGCCCAAACTTGGAAAGGAGGGCGAACTTTTGTCACCGACCGATTTGAATCACACCGGACTCTATACACTGCTGCAAGCTTCCACGGTCTCCGAGCAGGAGCTCTTCCAGTAAGATCCCGCCCCCTCCAGGGTTCATTAACAGCAAGATGCAATTACATTAATGACATGTTAAAGCTCCAGGCAGATACAACAAACAATATGGGAACCCAGAGAGTGCTAAAACTCTGGAAGACTTTCTAAACCTTCCTCACTCTACTAGAAAATGTGTTTTTATTGTTTTCTGTGTTCCAGTGGGGAGGGCGGAGGGGTAAGGTTGTCCCCCTTTTATTTTTCATTCATTAAAGGACACAGCAAAGATTGTTAGATCTTGACCACTGGGTTATACTGCCATCTGCAGGAGTAGGACACTAGGCACAAAACACACGCACACAAAAAAAGCCTAGGGGTGCCTCCTGCTGGTGACCAAAACCCCAATTGCTAGCGCCCCAGTTTTGTAGGGTTCTTGCTCCCCTGGATGCCAGTTTTTGGCACAAGGTCCTAAGGCAGCGGTGTGATTGGGGATGTGACCTTCGCATCGGGGTTTTTTTTCCTTTTGGTGTCCTTGGAACCACTGCTTGCGAATGCCCCAGTGTTGAAGATTTAACAATCTTCGCTGTGTCATTAAGTGAACAAAAGACAAAATTAGATTTTTGTACTCACCATGAAATCCTTTTCTCTGCGTTAATCAAAGGGCACAGCACTCGCCCTTGTTTATGGCTGTTGCCAAATGTTTGATTTTGTTAACTTACTGCTCGCTACTAACTAGAGCTGTGTTAGCAAATGGGGGTTGGGCACCAGCAGGAGCCGCTTCTAGACATTTTTTTGTGTTTTGGGCTTAGTGTCCTATTCCTGCAGGTGGCAGTGTATCCCAGTAGTCAAGATCTTTCAACTCTTTGCTGTGTCCTTCAATGAATGCAGAAAAAAAAAAAGGATTTTTCAGAACAAAAATCCAATTATTTCCTGTTCTACCTGACACAGGTAAAAAGACAGACAGCGATGGAAAAGAAAAACTTCTTACCCTTTCTGCACTCTATCCAAAACTAAAATCAAATTTTGGAGTTAGACTTTAAATGACATTTATCTAAAATGTTGATGTTTTTAGGCTTACTGAAATCATTCCAGAAAATGACGCTTTCTCGGACAAGTCGGAAAAAGATAACATCGAAGAATCGGAAAATGAGCACAGTCGGAAAACCAGTGAGAGCGACCAGTCTGAGCTACACGGAGAGATCTCATTGGACAGAGAAGGGACCACCTACATGGAAGAGCTGTATGAGGAATTTGGGGAGGTAAGGTGGTGACTCTGAGACAATCTGCATGTGTACAGTAGTTCAGTAGTTTAGAGGCAGCATATTTGTAAAGCCAGTTGAGTGCAAGTAGCTTTGAATTCTCCGAACAGGACTCTGTTTTTCTACTTGTAGGTATAGCTTCTACTGTGAGGAGGTTTGGCCACTATACAAATCAAAAGAGGCACAGCCCCATCTAGTGGCTGTACCCCTGCCCCCGCATACAAGCAGGTATATGCACTTTATGGCATAACGTTTGTGGTCACCTGGCCATCACGTTCTTCTATGCCAGTGCAGGGGTATAGCCACTAGATGGGGCTGTGCCTCTATTGATTTCGGTATAGTTGCTGCCGCCAGGAGGTTTGGCCACTATGCAAATCAGTAGAGGCACAGCCCCATCCAGTGGCTATACCCTGGCTTTACACCTGCATACAAGGAAGTGTATACACTATATGGCGTAACGTTTGTGGTCACCTGGCCATCACATTCTTTGATGCCGGTGCAGGGGTATAGCACAGACCCGTATGCATTTCGGAAATTCGGATCTCAAATGCCACTCGTGTCTGGCAGCCTCAGCTTTAGTATTATATCTGTATATAGTTGTATGTGGTAGTCGTAACGAATAAATGTTAGCAAACTCATCCGAAACGATCGACACTCGGATTTCGTCGGAATCCGAAACCCGAACCGATTTGAATTTCGGATCCGAATTCGGAAATAACAAAATATCCGAACCGACCCGAATTTTTCTGCAGCTTACATGTCTCTTGGCCATTTAGTATTGTTTCAAATGCCATCTACACCCCATAAAGTATCGCTGGTGCTCAAGGTGATCGCACGGATGGCGCTGTGTAGAAACTCCAAGTAATCACAGAAGTTCACCGGCACAATTTTGTGTGTGCCGGTGAACTTCTGCGATTACTTGGCCATTTAGTATTTCACAACTATATCAGGTATTCCGAGCAGATTTTAGCGCAGGCTGAGCTCTTCTTTGCTCTCTGTGTAGGTCGGAGAAGCTTCCCAGACAGAGACGGTGTCAGATGAAAACAAAAGCTTGATGTGGACTTTGCTGAAACAAATGCGACCAGGAATGGACCTGTCCAGAGTGGTGCTGCCAACCTTCATCCTGGAGCCTCGCTCGTTCCTGAATAAATTATCCGATTATTACTACCACGCTGACATTCTATCACTGTGAGTACCGCTTGGTGTTTTAGTATATTGAAACATGCACCTGAAACGCATACCAGCCCCCTGCCTTATAAATAGAAATTTACTTTGACAAAAGAATTAACAGAGAAGTATGGGGGTAAGTGTTTTTCCCCATAGTTCTCTTAAGGGTCACAGGAGGACATATACTAACCTCCTCCTGTGACCCAATACTCAGTATATTGCGGGCTATTGCCCATGTTACACTAAGAGCTCCGCAGCCGGGACAGATCCCAACAATACTGTCGAGATCCACCCAGCTGCGTGAGTGACAGAGGGCTCTGCCTATCTAGATGCAGAAACAGCTGCGCCCGCCCCCTTTCCTGTTCGTTCCTCCACTCAGCATTGGAGGATCGGAGAGTGGAGGGGGGAATCCCTGCGGGGAGCGGTGACTGAGAGTCACCGCTCACTGCAGGGAAACAATTGGGAAGTGAGCGGATTGGCGGCATGTTTCTGCTCAATTCCTGATCGATAGAGCCGACCTGTGACAGCTTCTTTGTGACAGGTCGGCTCTAACTATGAGGATGAGTGGAAATCACTCACCTCATAGATCTCCTTTAAGCTTTCCTTGCAAATGTATCAATCATTAATTGGATAATTATTGATACATCCAATCAATCATACATCCAATCAATCACCCTGACCTTAAACCCTATTGGCTGCTATGTATTACATCACTCCAGTTATTGCTTTTGCTCCTCCCTCTGCCTTATTGGATAACCTTGCTGCGGTGTGTATGCTTTCGGCAAGAGAGGAAGCTTTGATGACACTCGGCAGCACTGGAGATACATGATAATGACCCGAGATCAGAGACGTTGTGTAGAGCCGATACAACGTTTCCCTTTACATCGAACAAAGAGAATTTTACATTGGATTGGCTGTTCGTATTCTCTTCTGTTGTCTTTGATATTCAGAAGTCCATCAGGAGATGAAAGGCTTATATAATGCGTTCTCCTAGAACAGCGCAGGCTCTGATGATTATTCCTCGACCTTATAAAGATAGAATGTCGTCTATGAAAGCCTTCGCCGGGATTACATTCTGGTAGTCCATTAAAGGCTGAGCCGTGAATAGCCGAGGCCTTCCTGCGTCCTCTCTCGTCTATTTGATTTTTTCATTTTGCGTGTCACTGTCACTCTGATGAGATGTAAACGCAGTCGGCACAAGGTCACCGCTAACTTTGATACAAAACTCCGGCTTGATATACAAAACTATATCTATAATTATATTCATACAAAACGATGCGTCTTCTTGTTTGATGAGAGCAATAAAAAAAAAAATCCCTTTCAAGTCTTTGTAAGAATTTTATCAAAAGTGTTTGCAGATCCGCGCCTTTCATGCTTGTCTTCCCGCGCCCTCTCTGCATAAGTAAATAGAAAGTCACTCGCACTCCAACTCGATTCTCAGAAAATCTTTTATTGACCAAAGTTGTGTCACATTGTAAAGCGACGTTTCGGAACCGGGCGGTCCCTTCTTTAGGCAAACAAAGTGTAATCACCCAACAAAAATTTGCAGATATATATACAACAGTGAAAAACAATGAGCCAATCACAAACTTGTTCCAATCCCCCTTCTGACGCCACAATGACGTCATACTTTCATTTTAACCACCTGGCCGGGCTCAGTGCTGTAATGAGAAAAGCTGCTGTGTATGCATCCCCTTAGAAGTGAAGGAACCTGGGAAAAGTATCTCACCGAAAATGATACTTCTGTTACAGGGGAGTGTTGAACGATGACTTGTATCTTAGTGCAGCCAATCACACAGACAGGAAATTAGGTTCATATGGAACCTAGGGGAAAATATGGTACCTGTATGACTGGGCTCGATGGAAGCAGTTATTCCCTGACTTATCCTGCTGCATATTATTTTAGAGGAAGCTAAAACGTATTTACTGCTCTGGAACGAAATTATGGGGCAGGAAGTAGGTCTGGAAATGGATGTGTCATATACAAAAATCTATCTTTATATGTATTTCTTTCTCTCTCTCTCTCTCTCTCTCTCTCTCTCTCTCTTTATCTGCTCCTCCTCCTTCTCTCTCTCTCTCTCTCATTCTATCTATCTATCTATCTGCCTGTCTCTCTCCCCCCCTCTCTCTCTCTCTCCAACTCTACTCTCTCTATCTGCTCCTCATTCTTCTCTCTTTTTCTCTGCTCCTTCTCTCTCCCCCCCTCTCTCTCTCTCTCTCTCTCTTTCTCTCTCTGCTCCTCCGCCTACTGTCTCTCTCTCTGCTCCTCCTTCTCCTCTCTCTCTCTCTCTCTCTCTTTCTCTCTCTGCTCCTCCGCCTACTGTCTCTCTCTCTGCTCCTCCTTCTGCTCTCTCTCTCTCTCTCTCTCTTTCTCTCTCTGCTCCTCCTTCTCCTCTCTCTCTCTCTCTCTCTCTCTCTGCTCCTCCTCCTACTCTCTCTCTCTCCCTGCTGCTACTCTCTCTCTCCTCCTCCTCTCTCTCTCTGCTCCTCCTACTCTCTCTCTCTCTGCTCCTCCTACTCTCTCTCTCTCTCTGCTCCTCCTCCTCCTACTCTCTCTCTCTCTCTGCCCATCTATCTGCTCCTCCTTCTCTCTCTCTCTCTCTCTCTCTCTCTCTCTGCCCATCTATCTGCTCCTCCTTCTTCGCTCTCTCTCTGATTCTATCTATCCAATCTATTCTATTATCTATCTCCCTTCCAAAACTCCAGGTTTGAGAACGGGTGGAGGTAAACCTAAAACCCTTATAAGAATAAACTAGAACGCCCCAGCATCCTGCATCTAGGAGTGCAGGCTCTTCTCCACCTCCCTCCCCAATGATTATAAATATTCCATTAAAAAAGTATCTGAAAGGTAAACCATATTTGGTTTGGGTCAGCATTTTTTATATATATACTGGGGTTTTTTGTGCACTGATTTCTGCTTTTCACGTGTTTATTGTACAATGAAACGACACCATTACGGCTTTTCCGGGGGGAGAGAGAAGAAGATGTTTGCTTTCAAATAATCTATAATTGAATCTCCTGCTCGTTTCTCTTACACATTCAGTTACGCCGAACTTGAACCGTTTTCTTTACACATGTAGTATTTCTTTTTAAATGATTTTTTTGTCAAATTTTTTTTAGTTCATGGCAAATAAATATAAATCCATGGACGAATGAATAAATAAATAATAAAATAAATAATAAATGAATGTATACATAAATACATACATGCATACATACGCAAATCACAACTATTTTACATTACTTTCAAAAAATAGATAAGCTCTATGTGACCAAAGTTGAAAGAGGGAAAGAGGAAGGTCTGTACTCCTGAATGAGACAGTCTGGGTTCTGATGGCAGCTATGGTAACCTGATAGAATGGCCCTTAGGAGTCCTTTACCCATTCATGCATGGGGTGCAGGCTGACCATACTGAATGAGATTCTCCTTTGTATGCCTGGAGGTACCCCAAGTTGAACGCCACTGCTGTGTATTATACATCTTTCACGTCTGTGCATTGCACTTTTCTGTTTTTAAACTCTTTATTTATAAAGACCGCCTAGGGGTTCAAACAAAAAGCATTACAAACATGTAAGAAAAATCTAATTATAAACCATAACCTGTACACCAAACTACACACATTGTATTTTGTTAATGTTAACTTTATACAATGGGGGGGAATTTATCAAAACTGGAGCAGACAAAATCTGGAGCAGCTGTGCATGGCAACCAATCAACTCCTCTCTTCAGTTTGTTCAGTTAAGGTTTGAAAATGAAAGAGAGAAGCTGATTGGTTGCTGTGCACAGCTGCTCCAGATTTTGTCTGCTCCAGTTTTGATAAATGCCCTTCTCTGTTTTCAGTCCATATTCTGCCCGTGAGACATACAGCATCGTTGGTTGCTAGGATGCTGTTGGCTATCAAGGTGTCTTGTTAATTTCAATGGGACCATTTCAACTCAATACCCATCGTTTAACTCACCAGGGGGCTCATCATCTTACAAAGAATAAGTGCATGCACCAAGAGTAGAAGAATAGGACCCAACCAGATGGGGAAAAACACACCAGGAACGGGGAGAGGGAGAAGAAATAAAAGCATTCCACATTATTAGGTCACATGGTACAGTATGTATTTATCATGTTGCAGATAATATTTATCATTGCATATGTATAATATCACCATCATCTATCATACGGACATTTATCTGGCAGGTCTGCGGGATGATAAAGTATTGGTACATGTGTGAGAGTCTCCAGTTAATGAGTAATACATCATTTACCGATGGCGAGCTCCTTCCATTCTATTTTACATTTCTAAGAAGACATCATCGGACCTCTGGAAACCATTGCCGCCAAATTGCCGCTCTCCCAATTAGCTGTGTGTTCTAGTTAGGAAATCCTCCGGAGACTTTTTCCACTATGGGGATTTTATAGGGCTCATTTTTTTTTCCTGGAAGAGCTCGATGTTCCCGCAAACATCATCATCTCATATTTCTTACCTGAATATAATTCTTGAAAGGCTTCCAGAGAAGAATAATAGTTACTTTTGCTCAGGGCGTAATAGAGTTTTGACTGGACATGCACTTTAAGGGCCAGGATAAAAGGGAAGGAAAATCTCAAGCCTTTTTTTAATTAAAGGAGAACTAAGAGGTCAGTGAGAATCACTCCTCCTCATAGTTCTTGCCGACGTGTGACAATGAAACTGTCACACGTCGGCTCAATAGATCGGGAAGTGAGCGAACACATACCGTCGCTCGCTCACTTCTCGATCATTCCTCCCCTCTCAGATCCTCCAGCGCTGACTGGCAGAACGGACGGGGGAGAAGGCGGGTACAGCTGGCTCTGCCTCTAGATAGGCAGAGCCAGCTGTGACTCACGCAGCTGGGTGGATCCAGACAGTAATGTCGGGATCCGTCCGGGCTGCGGCGATCTCAGTATACCGCGAGCTGTAGCTTGCGATATACTGAGCTTTGGGTGTCGGGAGGACGCTGGTATATGTCCTCCCGTGACCCTTAAGAGAATTATGTGGAAAAACACTGACCCCATAGTTCTCTTTTAATTTTGGAAGGAGTGGAGAAGGGTTAGAACCTTTGTTAGATAATAATTGTTTAAAGTGATATTAAAGTCAAAAGGTGTAAAGCTATTTCAAATGCTGATGAAATCAGCTCCTTGATGCATAATGGTTTTAGTTACTGCAGAATCAGCTGGTCCTCTGAGCAATGGCCCTGATATCCTGTTTTAGGGGGGCTCCTTTCCCTTGCAGGGTCCTATGGAACCACCCTTGTTTGTGCTAGCAAGCTGTGTGTGTCTTCACAAACGCACAGGCACAGCAAGGGAAGACACCACCCTCCATCCTGCTCCTCCTCCCTTCTCCGAGCTAGTAGATGGACGGCTACGCACTGGACAAGAAGATCAGGATTCTGGTAGAATCCCGGACCCGTTAGAAATCTGGACCCCGCCTAATTTCTGGGGGCTAGGGGTGCATGGAGGGGGCATCAGCTGAATGCACAAGCTCAGTGCCTCTGATCATGTCTAGAAATTTCACTGGCAATTGCGCATATGCCGGGAAGCGGGCCCATAACATTCACAGCAGAGGCAAAAATTTACACAAGAGCACCTATGCGGGGAAGCTACTGGCTTTACAGCGCACTGGCACTAGTATGTTAAATTTTGCCTTGCCAGCATGTGCAATGCACCGCACCCACCTCTGGAAATCAGGAGTATTTGTGGTGTGGCAATAAAGAAAATAATTCTGTCAGGTTGATTAAACCTTTATGGTCTCCTCTACTGCTACTGTAGATGCTACGTTCGTTCACTGGTACTGGCACAGGCAATGGCGTAAGAAGAAGAGACGAGCCTCCTCCACACAGCCAGGACTCAAATCCATTGCCCTGTGAAAGATGCTGATACCTATATGCAGAGACCACAAAAATCATTTAGCAAATAAATGATCAAAACTGAATTTTTGCTTTGCTAAAACTTCAGCAACAATTAGGTAATTTACCACAATTTTCACGATTTCTGCTACATTCATCGGAGTCATCAGGGAAGGTGAATTTTTAGATGGCTTTGGGTGGTTTAAAGGGGGCGGTAGGCTTTAAAGGGCCCCTGATGATTACAAAATACTTTTTGTTTACTTTTTGTTTTATGTAACAACAATTTTTAAGGATTTTATTTCTTTTTAGAGGCACATTCATTGAGTGTTCATAAAAGAAATACAAGTGACAAGTCTTTGTTTTTCAAGATATTCATTGATCACCATGTTAGCCCTGACATGGTAACATTGGAGGCTAATTTCTACCAAATTCTGGTAACATTTTAATTATTAATTGCTGCAAAATCAAATTTCTGCAACACCAATCTGTTCATCCCTACTAGCAAAGATCCAAACGCATTGCTTTCCAGTATTCATCATTCTGTTTAATATTAATGATACATTTGTTACTCTGGAGCCAAGTAAACATACAGCTTGTCACGGTCTGATGCCACAGTTGATTTGTTTTTTTCCTGTCTCCAAAATCTTTCATTGCGATCATCGTGATCTTTACTGGCAGGTCTGGTAGGCACGGGGGTCAACATCATCCTAAACGTGCTTCATTGATCACAGTGCTTTGTCTTTTTTCTTCCTACACAAAATGTGATAAATCTTTTCCAAGTTGAAGGTTAAAAAAATAAAAGAATGTCATCTGACCACATTGCGTGTTTGGTTTTGAGTGGCAGCAGGAACCAAAAATAAGATGTAGAGTAGAGACTCTGGCAAATAAAATGCTGCTGACCTTTCCCGTAAGTAAACTTGGACGATTTCTTAAGGGACCGTAATATACAGGGGTACGGGTACTCCTAGAATGAGATCCTAATAGGTTGGACTTGATGGACTAATGTCTTTATTCAACCTCAAATACTATGTAACTATGTAACAAGTTTTGCAGCCTTTTTGTGTGTTTAAAATATTTATATATATACAGGCAGTCCCCGAGTTACATACATCTGACTTACATATGACTCCTATTAAAAACGGAGGCTCGGAGGCTATTACTGTACAGCAGGGGTAGTTGTAATGCTACTGCGCTCGTGCCGACGAGGAGTGCGCGCCTTTTTGGGTCTGCTCGTAGTACTGTACGTACATTACAGGAAGTTGGCTCTTGTTAGACGTGCAGACAAGGGGTGCCCACCTCTTCTTCCGGGTCACTGTGAGGTTTTAACTGCTGTCTGTATCCTCATTAGAAAGATTTAATCTCACTTCCTGTAATTGAGACAACAGGAAGTGAAAGGAAATCTACCCCTAGGAAAGGAAATTCACTGCTGTATGAGTGATCATGGGAAAAAAGGTGTCTCCACTGAAGCTTTATCACCAATCCTTGTTTCCATGACAACCCAAAATTTTCAAAATCCAATTGTCACGGGAACAGAAAGTGAGGTGAAATCTTCTGAACAGGGGCACACACAGCAAAACAAACTTTACAGAGGGTTACCCCTTCCCTATGATATCCAAAACAAAAAAAAATTTGCCTGTTCCAACTTACATACAAATTCAACTTAAGAACAAACCTACAGAACCTATCTTGTTCGTAACCCGGGGACTGCCTGTATATATATACTGTATATACACTAAGGGGCCAGATTATTATGGCCACCTGACGTTTGTAGGCAAATAAGCAATAATTAGCTAGAGGGCCATACCATTATAAATAGGGAAGCAGGTTGTTTACCACGACAGTAGAAGTGATTTGTTTCTGAAGATACGGGGAAACAACGCGATTTAACAGCCTTTGAACGCGGGATGATTGTTGGCGTTCGGAGCCATGGAGCGAGTATCAGCAAAACAGCAGAATTTGTTAAATGTTCAAGAGCAGCTGTTGTTAAAGTGTTTAAAGACCGGACTGTCAGCCGAAAATCTGGGTCTGAACGTGCGAATTGTGGCCGTCAGCGACTAGTCAATGTTAGGGCAGAACGGAGAGTGGCAAGACTGGTACAAGACAACAGAAGGGCAACAGTGCCGTGTCAGATTCCTCGCATCACCTTTCACCATCTCGTGGAGTCAACGAAGTACTGATGGGGTGGTCATAATAATCTGACCACTCAGTGTGTATATATATATTATATGTGTATATATACTGTATATATATCATATTCAACATGTTTTTCAAGTAGATTTAAAAGGAACAAATGAATGCAGCTCTGTATTTATTAGTACACGGTTAACTGTAATGCAAGCAGTGTAGGTAGAGGATTTGTGGACCTGGCATCATCCTCTTGCAGTCCCTGTACAGCAGAGCTCAGGGAGGGGGAGGCAGAAGCGGCGCCAGTGCAAGGAGCATGCTAATAGAAGAAGAGAGCAGAGCAGCAGAGCTCATCGATGTGCTGCTTCTACTTTACAAACCTGTTTCATATTTATGGTATCTGCTCTTGTTGTAGGGCCGCCGTGGAAGATGACCCTTACTGTCGCATGAAGCAAGTTCTGAAGTGGTATTTGTCTGGATTTTATAAGAAGCCAAAGGTAAAATAAATTGGATATTTCCACTGATTTATAATCCCTAATCCTTCATGTCACTGTCATGTTATTTCAATAAAGGAAGCAGAAGTAATATCGCCAACCCTCCTGTGGTTGAAGCCAGGAGTCAGTGTTTCCGTTAAAGCATATCCAAAGCAAAAGCTGTTCTTAGTTTTGGATGGAGTATGGAAGCATTAGAACCTCTGTCCGGTTATTATTGTTGTCTCCACTGGGGAGATTCACCTTCTTGGTGAAGATAATTGGAAATCCAAAATGTTACAGCTGTTACTAGAACAGGAATAGAGAGGAAATCTTCCAATGGGGACCCTTGTGCTGGTGACATCAGTCTAAGGGTTGATTCATACCATAGCATTGCGCCAAATACACAGATCCGTGTGATTAATGCACCGTACTGCACAACACACCTACTGAACGTTATAGTGCGGGAGGTGCGTTGCGCTGCCATTAATTTGAATGCCATCTTAAATGCACCTCCAACCAATGTTCTGAACCAGGCCACACCGCATTGTACTGCATTGTGGTGCGTTGTGGTGCAGCATCTGCCTCTGCAAGTCATGCCTGTGGCTGTCAAAATCTTGCAACTCCTTATGGGACTTGTAGTTCCACAATAGCTGGATGGTTGAAGTCCTCGCTCTCTCTCTCCTGGCTCTCTCCTGGCTGTCTCTCCTGGCTGTCTCTCCTCACTCTCTCCCCTGTAGTCTCTCCTCCCTCTCTCCCCTGGAGTCTCTCCTCCCTCTCTCCCCTGGAGTCTCTCCTGGCTCTCTCCCCTGGAGTCTCTCCTGGCTCTCTCCCCTGGTTGTCTCTCCTGGCTCTCTCCCCTGGTTGTCTCTCCTCGCTCTCCCCTGGCTGTCTCTCCTCCCTCTTTCCCCTGTAGTCTATCCTCCTTCTCTCCCCTGGAGTCTCTTCTCGCTCTCTCTCCCTGCTGTCTCTCCTTGCTCTCTCTCCTGGCTGTCTCTCCTCACTCTCCCTTGGCTGTCTCCCTTCCCTCTCTCCCCTGCAGTCTCTCCTCGCTCACTCCTGCCTATCTCTCCTCATTCCCTATTCTACAAGGCAGGGCAGAGCAACAGGTTTGCTCTAATGTCCACTCCTCAGCAGATTATACTCAACTTTTCCTAAACCCCTCTGCCACCACCCCATTCAGCATCCTGCCAGCATCGTTGCTTTGTTTGGAGCTTATAAAGGGTTGGGGACTCTCTCCCCACCCCTAAGGGACAGCACTGGTCCAATAGCAAAGCACCATCACTATCACATGGGAGGAAAAGGAGTGAGTCACATGCTCCTTCATACCCAGACGTACCCTGGGTTTTCTTCTCTTCTGGAGGTCAATTGTAGTGGCAGAAAATCAATGGTATGTGCAGCTGGGAATAATATAATAAAGTAAACTGGTTGCCGGATTGCTTTTAAAAGATGCAAACCCAGACCTCCATCACTCCATGTACCCACCTAGAGATTGTAAGCTTAAACTGACCCTAATGACTTCTCATGTTTCTGTGTCGCAGGGAATAAAGAAGCCGTACAACTCTATTTTGGGTGAGAAGTTCCGATGTTGCTGGTTTCACCCTCAGACCAACAGTCATACATTTTACATAGCAGAACAGGTAAATGCATCCAATATGTACGCTATAGGAGAACTCCAGGGCGCAGTTCAGCTTGCCAATGAGAAAAGGGAATGTATCTGTATTGAAAATTGACTTTTTTTGCAGGTAAGTCATCACCCGCCAGTGTCGGCCTTCCACGTCAGTAATCGGAAGGATGGCTTCTGCATCACTGGGAGCATTCTGGCCAGATCCAAATTTTACGGTACTGATCAGCATCAACCTGAGTGCACAACTGCTAAGCTTTCCATTTTGACATTTCTGTCTGGGTTTGGGCTCATGCACACGGGCATACAGTTTGCTGCACTCAGATCTGTCATTTATATAGATCTGAATGCAATAGTATTGTATTCTATTGGCCAGTTCACAATGGTCCATTATGGTCCATAGTGCTTAACTGTGTAAGGCAACACAAGAAAGCTCTGCATCCAGCATAGTGCATCTGGCCATATTTTGCACTGTATGCATTAGTGCTTATGTTTTTATGCATACTACGTATAGTGTATTGAACCCTGCAACCAATGCTCAGGGCAGACATGTAAACAACAGTGTATAATCAGCAGCAGTGGGTGCTTATCACACAGTATTGTTTACATGTTGACCCTAAATAAGTCATTCATGGGGTGCATGCACAGAATTACCTCAGCCTTCATTGACTGAAGTCCAAGGTAATTCTGTTCATGTGCTGTCACTACATGAATGACTCATTTAGTAGACATGCAAATTTTGTTTAGTTCCGAACGCAAATTCAGACAAAATTTTGTGAATTCAGACATTTAGATGCATCCGAATATCCATATTTCAATGAGGCCGAATGCAAACAAATCCACATGTCCTTTTAACAAAATTTTGGATCATCCGAATTCCATTTAAAATTAAACTAAATCAGACACGTGACTGTTTTCTGGCCATTCAGAAAACCTCGTCCGAAACTAAAATTACATTCCGAAAGATCCGAATAACGAAACGGCGTTCGGACCCTGAAACCCAAAAGAAAGAAAAATCCGGAACAAAGCAAATGTTTTGCTGGCTTTCATGTCTTTCATTCAGGGCCTACATGTAAACAGTGTATAAGCAGCAGCTGCCAATGGTTACATACTATTGTTTACATGTCAGGCTTGAGCAGTGGCTACCTTGTGAATTACTCATTCAATTCATTCATTAGGCAGGGGAAGAGTGGCCATGCAATTTGCCTATACTCATCTCAGTTATACAGACTTTATATTCGTACAGTTCCTATGCAGTACTGACAACTTTTTATGCACGATTTTGCTGCCCGTAAGGTGCTGTGCCAATTTTATATGGCTGTGTGCATGAGGCCTTAAAGTGCATGTCAAGCCAAAATGTTTTTTCTAGTTTTGAACAGAGTAGGGAAGGATTAGAACTCTTCCCTAGTTTTTACCGCTATCCAGGGCTCCATTAAAGCCCCACTCTGGCCTGTTTTTGGATGTACCCATGTACTGGGTAAACCCTCACCCCGCATATTGATTGGGTTAAGTGCTCATTTGGCTAGAGAGGAAATAAATAAGTAGAAATATGTACTTTATCCCAGTCTCCCGCAGGCTTCCTTGTCTCTCTGCACCCGGTCCCCCAATGTTGCTTCACCTTGCCTCCCAGCCTGTGCCAGCTCTCTGACATCATCTCATACAATGCAGGACCAGCAGGAGGACCGTGGGGGCCTGCCCACAACCCAGAGCATCAGACAGCAGAGGAGAGCACTGCCAGGGGAGCAAGGAATAACTTATTATTGCTAAATTAGCATTTAACCAATGCTGTGTGGTGTGGGGGTGGGGTGGGCCTCAACTGCATGGGTAAATTTAACAGTAGCCCAGAGTTTGGTGTTAAAGTGATTTTGCCTCACTTCCTGTTCTGCTGGCAACAGTTTTACCTGCAGACAAGAAAAAAAATAACAGGGGTTTTAGCTAGGGATGCACCGATATTAGTATCGGTGCCAATGCCAAGTACTCGCCAAATGCTTCGATGCCTAGCTCGATACCCGAGCTTCCAGTATCAGGAAGCCAGGCGCCACATCATTACACGGCACCTGGCTTCCTAATTGGCCAGAAAGCCGGCTCCATGCTTTCTTGTCAGCTAGTGACGAGAAGCATGGGGATGGCTTCCCTGCTAATCGGGAAGCCGGGCGGCGAGTCTTTACATGCCACCTGGCTTCCTTAATGAGACTTCTGGTATCGGTATTGGCGAGTAACGGAAAAAAAAATATTGGTACTCGTACTCGATAGCGAAAAACCGGTATCGGTGCATGCCTAGTTCTAGCCTTCCACTGGTCTACTAAAGAAAAGTACTTTTATTTCTGTCTGTGTTGCTGTTGGAGAGTTCCCTTCACTTGCTGTCTGGTAAAACCTTCTCAGGCAGACAGGATGAGGGGAAATCTCTCCAATCTTGTACCCCTGGAGAGCAGTAAAAAGATGACAGGGATTCTAATCCTTCGTCGTTCCATCTGAAGCTGGAATAAAAATGTTGCTGGACACAAACTTTGATAATAAATAGACGCACATTGATACATTCGGATTGATAGTCTAACGATTTAGCACTGTGGAGGAGCAGACAATAGGTCCACTGTATGTTATTTTATCTAATAATTTATATTCCTGAGCTCTTTTCAGTGAGCCATTTGTATTGATCATTGCACCAGAGGAGCTTACAGTCTAATTACCGTATCACAGTCTTACACAAACACACCACCCTTGGGAGGAAGCTGATTAAACAACCAGAATTCGTTAAGGTTGTGGGAGGAAACCAAAGAGAACATACAAAGCCCATGCACATAGTATTACTAATGAAAGCCCAGAACCCCAATGCCACCCAGTATTCCTTGTGCCCAATCAGATTATTTTTTCAAGCCGGGCATTTCAAGTTGCATTTTTTTTTCAAGAGCTATTGCGCCAAATGTAACTAAGGTTCTGCACATGCTTCATGATGCCATACTACACAGATTTATTCTGCATATTCAGTTTAGGCTCAATGGTCATCTTATCAGATGTACCGACTTGTACAGCCAAAAAGCGAATCACGTGACTGCAACGCACTGCATAAAGCATTCAAGGGGGGTCAGTTGGAATGGAATGTTGGAATGGGGGTGAGTGCTCCAAGAAATATGACTGTGGAATGATTGTTGGTGGTAGAACTGTTGCAACATATCAAAAACTGCTGGCCTACTGAGATGCTTAGGCAATAAGGTCTCCAGAAGGTGCATTGTCTAGTGTGGAAAACAAAACCATCCAGTAGGCTAAAACACCTAGTAATCGAGAAGAGTCAGGAGAATGGCCAGACTTCTACAAGCTGATAGAAAGTCCACAACTGCACAAATAACCACTCTATACAAATGCATGGAAGAAGAACCTCTCTGAATGGATGATGCATTGAACTTTGAAGAGCTAAGGCTACAGAAGAAGAGCACACTGGGTTCCACCATTATGAACTAAGAACAGAAGAATGAGGCTACATTGGGATGGTATTGCCAAAATTGGATGACTGAAAACATTTTGCTTGGTCTGACAATTCTCATTTTCTGCTGCAACATGCAGATGCATAAAGGGTCAGAGTTCGGGGTGCATAGCTGAATCCCTTGGGATGAGATGGAATGGAAGGTCAGCAGCATGTGACTGATTTATCTGCAGGATCTACATGAAGCTATTGAGTCTCCATGGACCATTAGAATTTCAGTATCTCGCTCAAATGTATTTAGGATATCCTGAAGACAAAAAGAGATCCTTCCAGACAGTAGATAGGTGTCGTGGTTAGTTAACCCTCTTTGTCTCTAGTGCCAAACTACCTTCTAAGTGAAACCCTAGAACAACAGGAAAAGTGCCGCAAGTTGGCGCAATACCAACGTGAGAGGCAGAAGCATAATCAGGCACGCAAGAGGTTTTGAGAGGCAGCAGATAGAAGTAGAGTCCAAAAAATAGGCAAACGTCAGATTTCATAAAGCATGTGAGAAGCCAGTGTAGTCAGGAGACTCAGATAAACCGAAGAACCTGTTCATCAGGCACTGGGTAGAGTTACCAGGTTCCCTATATAGAGTGGAAGTTCTGCAGTGCCATAAATAGTTTAAAGATGGAGATGAGTAGCAATTCCAGCAGCTCAAGGTCTCCTAGTCATGGTACCAAAGAGCAGCTGTGGATGGATCGTTAGAGGCCACTAAGCGTAGTTTAAGATACCATTCACTGCTCAGGTGGATGGATCGGAATAGTGTTGAAGTTCCCCGGGAATTCCAGCTGCTGAGTGGATTGGTGTTGCTGGGGTGTTTTTGCTGAAAGGACAACACAGGTTTTTTGCAATGAGTCCAAGGGTTTCAAACTAGGCCTTGGTACAAGTATTAGAACATTGCAGGGTAGAAGACCTTTTCCTAGACAAAGATATATATATATATATTTTTTCTTTGTATCTCTATAGGTTGGACTCGATGGACTTGTGTCTTTTTTTCAACCTGACTAACTATGTAACTATGCAACTATGTAGATATCTAGAGTCTGGAAATTTCCAGCGATTGCCTTACAAAACTGTACAACTGCCCAGTCAGCATTGCGGAGAAGCCTCGGGGCCGTTATTATAGAGAATCTGCCAATTGTGCATTATACTGTACCGGATCTTTTACTGTGCTATAAATTCAGTGGAGCTTTTACATAATGCAAAACATTTAATTCTCAGCATTATAGTGTAATAAGATTAGCTTGGAAAGCCGATTTGGGAACCGTGGAAAAATAATTTGGAAAATATCAAGGCCCTTAATATACCATAACACTCGGTGATATACTATATACGAGTGCAAAGATCGGTTTAGAGACTCAGAACACCAAAAGCTAATATTGCTGAAGCGCTAAACCACATGATTTCCTGTAGCTCTCAGGTACTCCGATGATGAGAATTACATTTTTGCTCCAAGGCTTACACAGCACCTGCAACTATCACAGGGACATTTCCTCCTCTTGTTAGCTTTCTACATTCTTTTATTTAATGAAGAATCAAGTAGGAGAAGTCAGAATGATGTTGAAAACTATGGTGGAGTTGTCTCACCGCAGGAGCTTCTAGTAATAGGGATGAGCAAAGCAATTTAGGCAAAATTGATTGCGCAACTGACAGTTAGCTAATATCCCAAGCAGTTTTGTCATCCCAGCCTAAGTTCTCTGCCAGTGGAATACAGAATCCCCCCCCCCATTCTTTATTTCCATCACATATATGGGGATGCTGTCCTGTGTACAGCAGAGGAAACCCCAGGCAGGTTGGGATTTCAGTGCAGCAAAGGCAGCGTTGAGAGGTCACAATAGGAAGTTAGGTAGATTTCTGACAGGAGCAAAGGGTATCTTGGTGTACTTGCAGCATTCTTAAAGAGACAAAACAAGGGGAAATGGTTGTGTATTGCAGAGATTTACTACACATATAATTTTGTTTGCTTAGACATACACTTTAGGTCTCCAGGTTGACACCTGTGTGGGACCTTAACCCAACTCACAAACCTAGTCACCCATGCTTCCAGGACATCTTTGATCTTTCATTCTTTCCTCTCAACAGCTTCTCTGAACATGTATTCACCAACACGCTAAGTATCAAATCCTTAATTCACAAGATCTATGTCCTACCATCTAAAATACTCTTAATATTTACCTACAACCAAATTACAATTGCCCTATGCTCCCTCAGTTCTGGTGCCTATGATGTAATCCCGTTTTGACATGGTCCTCATTTCTGATTTTTCATATATCTTCACACATTCTAATATCATTGTTATATCACTTATATATTCTCAGCTTGTACAGCAATATCGTGCCACTATATAAATAATATAACTGATAAATGTGAACGTGTGCCTGTGGGTCACATTTGACATATTCATTGTGACTTGACGTGCCTCTAGAACTATGTTCATTTGAATTATACTTTGTTATGACAGTGCCGGTCCAAGATATTGATATTTAAAGAGCTGTAGACTTTGGCTGACCTCGGAGTTGAGGCTGTATGTCAGCCAATCAGGATGGGAGCTGTCGTTCTGTGTAATTGGAGCTTATATATTGCCCGCCAAGCTGTCAGCTCTCATCTGACAATGAAAGCAAAAATGGCAAAGATGAATGAAATTTGGATGTCAAAACGCAAAACTATTCTCCACGTAAAAAAAGGAAGAGTATTATGTATTATGGGTGCACATGAAATTGAATAGCTGTGCCAAGTTAAAACTGAGGTCCTAGGTGTTGATGGAAGAATGGAAACTGAGTCCTTATGGATTTCAGGATCAAGATCTGAACCCCCTCTAGCCCTGATTCTTCATTCCAGCTGATTATTTTATAATGTAAAATTGTATGGGCAGCACATTTGAGTAGTGGTTAGCGCTTCTGGCTTGCAGCACTGGGGGTCCCCAGTTTGAATCCCAGCCAGGTCACTATCTGCAAGGAGTTTGCATGTTCTCCCTGTGCTTGCGTGGATTTCCTCCCACACTCCAAAGACATGCTTAAGGTTAATTGGCTCCTCTCTAAATTGCCCCTCTATCTAAGCATGTGAGATAGGGACCTTAGATTGTAAGCTCCTTGAGGGTAGGGACTGATATGAGTGTGCAACTATGTAAAGTGCTGTGTAAATTGTCGGCGCTATATAAATACCTGTAATAAATAAATATGATACTCCAACACGTTGAGCATCACTGCCATAATGAACATGACTTCTCTGTATAAAAGCTCAGGTTTATTTATATGAAGGTAAAGTGCCTGGAAATGTTTGTGTCATGACACCTAGTTTTTTGCACAATAAAGGGGACGCGTGCCCATTTTGGTAGGGATAAGGATATGTAGAGGTATTGCTTGACATAAAGCCAAGAAAGATAGATATTGACCACCAGTGGTGGACAGAATCCACCAATGGTCCCCTGTGCTAGACCAATTTTTGGACACCCTCCCATGTACTGTAACTAATGGTCAAGTAAAAACAATATTTCACTGTGCATAAATTGATAGCTAGATAACAGTGAGCCACCTCCACCTCCAATTTGTGACATTGGGACTGGGTCCCAGCACTCATCTGACCCACATCTAATATAAATGGGAGCATAAGTCCCAGAGGGCCCCTGTACAGCTGTACAATCTGCACAAATGGTAAGCCCACCCCTGTTGATGATACAGGGAAGGAGACAGAGTCAAACTCCTTAAGGGAGATCCACTACAGCTATTCAAGGCTTAAATATTCTTCTCTTTATGATATATAGACAAAGAGAGAGTAATGATCTCTACAAAAAGTAAGACCTATTGTATAACCATGGAACCTGACTCCAGCCAAACCATTGCTATTTCCTTTCGTTGTGGATAGTGTGGCTATGGGTTACAACCTCTGTTTGGCTTTAAACACTGTTGTGTCCCAGCAGCAGAGATGTTTCTTCTCTTATTGTCCTTCCTGACACCTAACAACTGGACAGGAAGTGAAGGAAAATCTCACTCATTGGGGCATAGGCACCAATAAAATAATGATTTGAAACCTTCCTCATTCTGCTAACGATTATTTGTGAGGGCTTCTTCTTAGCAGGTCTGTCAACTAGATCAACACAGACTCAATGCAAGGACACTGAGAGAACAATTGTTCTCCATGTGCCCCATTCACACCTTATAAGGGCATTGGAGTGCATTAAATAAAATTGCAGCATGTCTGCTTTGTGGAACACAGCACGGAACAACTCATGATGGCCGGCAGCACATCACAAGTTTGAATAAAGTGTTTTGTTAACCTTCAATAAAGTAAAAAAAAAGGAAAAAAATGTAAACATTGTAATACATTGTTACAAAGCATCCCGGTGCAGATGCATAACAGCATGCACGCGTTGTATGCACCCTAACACCCATCTGCTGGTGTGAATGGGTCCTTATTGCTGCCTGTCATTCCTTTGGAGATATTTTTCCTCACTTCCTAATCTATCTGACATTTGTCAGATACATGGGAAATGTGGATATTTTTTATGATTTCCTGTTTAGTATGACACCCATCATGTGGACAGGAAGTACAGAGAAATCCCCTAAGCAAAACCATGGAAAGCGATAAAAAGTTGACAGAGGTTCTAACCTTTACTTGCTCTGTCCAAACTAACTGGGTTCTAAGTTCTGAGTCATTCCGGAAAAATGACTTACAGGATTTTTCACATTTTTCATTAATAGGTAATTCCCTCTCCGCAATTTTAGATGGGAAGGCAAGACTTTCGTTCCTGACCCGTGAGGAAGATTACATCATCACCATGCCCTACGCTCACTGCAAAGGTACTGCTTATATATATTCCAGGGTGACAGGGTGACAACCCAGGACTACAACTAGGAGACAGGGACAGAACTTTGTCATCCTATAACAAGAAGTGCCTGAACATGGATCTTCATGGCAGGATCACCAGGGATTATTTTAATAAATGGAGCAGATTTTAAACCATTGACAACGGCTTTTAAAAATAACATTAACATGCTTAAGATTATATGAGATTTTAGTGATTAGGTTTTCATGTACTTTAAAGAATCCATGTAGCGACTCCTGAACTGTAATAGGAAAAGATGAGTTGTACAGAATACACCGTCAACTGTCGATATTAGAATCTAATACTTGCTTTGACATGACGGTTACATTTGCTTATGTATTTGTTCATTATCTTCTTAGCCTAAATTACATAAATTTGTAAGATTAATATCAAGATCTGTATTCAACTTCAAAACTGGAACTAATGGATTGTTTTTAGGCCTTAAGAAATCCACTGATAGCTTTTTAAATTCTTTGCTGTTCAGACTGAAGCTAAGATTATATATTGTCAGGGTGTATTTATAGTGACACTAAACTCAGGAATTAAATCTTAAAAATACATTCAAGTCCCACAACTATTAACAAAACAGAACCTTATTTGTGTATCACTCGGCTGTAGATCCTCCAATCATCTCTGAATTGGTGCTGACACTGTCCTTCCTTCTGGAGGGGGGCTACTTTTGTTCCCCATGGTCCTTGTGTGTGTTGTAAAGTAGTCACCGTTCCAAGCTTGCTCCCAGGATGGTCTAAAATCTTAAGGCAAATTAGTAAATTAAACATGAGATTGTAGTCCATCCCGGGACCGGGAGTGAGCTTGGAGTGGTGACTACTTTACAACACACCCACGGACCATGGGGAGCAAAAGTAGCCTGAGTTTAGTGTCACTTTAAGGTCTGAATGGTGTAACTGTTTGTATAAAATGTTTTATTAGGTCTCTTGTACGGCACAATGACTATGGAGCTAGGAGGGAAAGTCACCATAGAATGTGAGAAGACGGGTTATGTGACGGAGCTGGAATTTAAGTTAAAGGTATGTTTTCTATGGCCAGTTGTGTGCCCATGGTCTGCAGGCTTGGACATTGAACCAAGGATGCTTGAAAAAAAGTCACTTGGCTTTGTTAGGAAACAAAGCCATGTTTATTCCCAAAGCCAAGTCACAAGCAGCTGCCAATGTACTTACCCAGTGGCAGTGTTAGCAACCAGTGAAAAAAAGAAAATTTGTACAAATAAAATTACCACAAACATTTTTTCAGAAGGTTAAGGTTCTCCTGTTCCTCGAGTTTTAATTTCATGCGTTTAGCTAAGAAGGGCCCTTTTTTGACACGAGAACCAGGTTAGATGAAAGGAGTTTCCTTGACCCCCAGGAGCCCTTTAAAGCCAATTGCACCCTAAAAACTCACCTTCATTTTACTCCAAAATATTAAGTCAAAATGGTCAATATATTTAGTCAAAAAAGTAAATTTTTTTGAAATTGCACGAACTACAAGCAAAGCAACAACTCTCAACTCTGCTCATCCCTACTTTAGTTCCATGCCAGCAGCGGAGCTGAAGATTGCTTCAAATGGAATTCCAAGCAAAATCTGTTAATAACTATAAGAAGTGAGATGTTACTTTGTGTTTTTATGTGCAATTTGGACCTGTAAAAGCCTCCCTTGTGTATACATCCAAAAGCCCAGAGACTCCTACTGGGTGCCAGGTACTGGGTGAGAGGAGGGCAGATGAGCTGGACTAGCACAGATAGTAATTAGACATTCCCAGAAGAGAGAGAGAGGGCTGTGATGAGGAAGGGGGCTTTGCTAGGATCATTTGGTATTGTCTTGTGCTAGGGTATAGATTAGTAAAATTTTCTAGCAAGTTCTGAGGCACTTTGCAAGTTAGAAAAAAATTGTTTATGAAAAGGAAAATAGCTTCAAGTAAGAATTTCAAATACTAAATCTTTCAGTGCTTTTAAATGCATAGTTGGTGATAATGTCTCTTTAAATTTGAGAATGTTGTTCTCACTTGTTCCTGACATTTTGTAGAATGGCCATGTACGATAACAGGCACAATGATTTCTGCTGAGTGTGCATGTTCCCTCATACAGCAGACACTGCTGGCTTTAACCTTTCCTTGGGGAAAGAGAGCTAATGTCCTGTAAAATCCATCGCAGAACATCAGTTCTCTTCTCCTTTGAGATTAACGAGCCTGGGGTTGTCTATAGAGGTTGCAGATGAGCCTTAGACATGCAATGAATTCCTGACCAGGCAGGTCACTTGTGGGGGGTCACCTGCAATTTTCTAATTGCCATGGTTGAATTTTGTTCCCCATTTCTTGACTGTGGCATTTGAAGGGGTATCTGTCCCAAAGTGGCCTTGGCATCCTCATCGATCACCTTCAGCTCATTCCTTTATGTGGAGGCAGGGCCATCTTTAATACTGATTGGACCCTGGGCAAACATTTTCTTCGGCCCCCTACTCCTATACACCTCCTACCCGCCCCCGCCATGCAATTTCGCCCATGCATATGCCTATACAACAGGGGCAGAGCAACACTATGAAATACCGATTGCACAGTAAACAGAAGAGTGGTGTGGGTGTATTTTTTGCGGGCTCACGGACAGCATGTAGTGACCCCCATCACATACAGACAAGTACCATAGTGACCCCTCTCTCTGGATGTTGAGTGTTCCCTAATACACACATGCAGCATGGAGTAGCCAGTACACACAGGGCCCCCCCATCAGACATCCACCGTTCATGCTGCTCTGATTCAGGCTGTAGTCCCCTCACCCGGCAGGCTCCCTCTCCCCCCATCCAGGTGCAAAGTGAACTTCGGGGTCCAGGTCATAGCAGAGCCGCCTCCTCCAGCACATACACGGCATGGAAGGGGAGGGGAGGGCATCCACCCAGCTCTTCTATCTGTGTGACCCACTCTGCTGTGCGATCATCCAGCGATCTACTGTCAGTGCTGAGATGCAGGGCCAGTGGTAAGAGTTTTGCAGCAGAGGACCCACCCAAGGGGCAGCTGCTTTGGGCCCCACAACAATGACTGGGCCCTGGGCAGCTGCCCCTTTTGCCCTGCGTTAAAGACGGCCCTGTGTGGAGGTATCAGATCACCGTTCCGTTATCGATGTTACTCATTCTGCGCTTGCCACTATCCAATCACCTCAAATACACCTTTGTGGTGAGGCTTACAACTTTTCAGTCAACCTTTTTGTAGCAAAAATGTATGTAAAGCTGAGAGTCTGCAGCCTTCTCATCTTGTGTTTTTACCTACAGCCGTTCTTTGGAGGAAGCGACACCTTAAACCAGATAAGCGGAAAGATCAAAGTGGCAGGGGAACTCCTGGCAAACCTTGATGGGCACTGGGTGAGGATTTATTGACTACCTTTGAGCAGTTGGTAACAATCAACAAAAATAAATGTGGCTACAATGTGGCTTAGACTGGCCACTTTAGTGGAGCTTTACATTTCATTTAGCCAACCAGCCCTGTGTCTGTTTCCTTTCCAGGACCGGGAAGTGTATTTAAACGATGTCCAGGGTTGTAGCAGGGACATTTTCTGGAATCCAACGGTGGAGATCAGAAGACAGAGGCTGAAACGGCACATTGTGCTGTTTGAAGAGCAGACGGAACTGGAGTCAGAGAGGTAAAGAATTTGAAGCAACTCTGTGTATAAAATAAATGTGCCAAATACAGGGCCCCCTGTAAAGAAGACATGGCATACTGCCCTCTCCTTCTGCCTGCATAAGCTTGACTATTTCTTTTACGACTTGACATGAATTTATTTATTACAGGTATTTATACAGCTCTGACAATTTATACATATTGCACAATTACATCAGTCCCTGCCCCCAAGGGGCGTACACTCTAAGGTCTCTATTGCACATGCATACATGGGCAATTTAGACAGGAGCCAATTAACCTTTCATCATGTCTTTGGAGTGTGGGAGGAAAACCACGCAAGTAGAGAGAGAACATACAGAACTCCTTGCAGATAGTGCCCCGACCGGGTTTTAGAACATGGGACCCCCACTGCTATAAGGCAGAAGTGCTAACCACCATGCCACTGTGCTGCCCAGTGTACCAGCTGATGATTGAAAACATTAAAATCTTGATATATAAAATATAATAACATGTGAGCAATATAATATCTTCCCAATGTCAGTAGCTACATATGCAAAAATATCTCCCCAGCCAGCCAAAACATTCTTCACCCCCATGCCCCCTCACTATATTGTTCTCTTCACCACTGCCATATTTTACCCCAGCGGTTCTTACCCCCACTATCAAAATTCTGCCATGTTTGCTGTAACACAGTGCTATTCAGGTCATGCAGTTTGTGATCTTCAGTGATTCCACAAGTGCAGTGCAGCACTGGACGCATCACTAAAGACAGGCCTACAGACAAGCAAAGATCTGCTAAAGGGAAAGCATGACTAGGGAGAGAAGGAGGAGACTCTAGAAAGAGTTAATAGGAAACATGAATATTTTTTTGGGGGTTCTTTTGGAGATGATGTTTTGCCTATAGCAGACGTATTTGGGGATCCTTATGGTGGTGCCCTTAGGCTTGGTCTCTGGTCTCAGCGTGACTGATTTTTTTTTTCCAAGGTGAGGCACCTTTGGACCAGAGTGGTGTGGCTGAGGACTGAAGTGCTTCTTTTAAATGTGTTGGTGTTGACACCCTCAAAAAAAACCTTCTGGGAGAGTCTGCTGTTACAGGCATTGATTGATTTGATTGATTTATTAGCTAATTCTGTATATTGAGTAGTTTGTTTATAGTTGTATGTTGCTGCTAAAGGGGTCAAGATTAACTAAAAAATTCTCTAGTCGTGTGCTAGCACTAAAGATGTTAAAACAAGCAAGCTTCTTTGTTCTCAGTCCTTGACATCAGTCTGAGTACAAACACAAACAGGCACCTGTGCAATATATTGGCAGCTTTAAAGGAGAACTATGAGGTGAGTGATTTTCACTCAGCCTCATAATCTGAGCTGAACCTGTGACAATGAAACTGTCACAGGTCGGCTCAGTAGATCGGGAAGTGAGCGAACACATACCGGCGCTCGCTCCTGTGCTGGGGGACTGGATTCCCTCCCCTGTCCGATCCTCCAGCGCTGACTGGCGGAACGGACGGGGGAGGGGGCGGCTACAGCTGGCTCTGCCTCTGGATAGGCAGAGCCAGCTGTCACTCACGCAGCTGGGTGGATCCAGTCACAATTGTCGGGATCTGTTCCGGCTGCTGCGTCTCAGTATATGGAGAGCTGTAGCTCGCGGTATACTGAGCTTTGGGTGACGGGAGGACACTAGTTTGTGTCCTCCCGTTACCCTTAGGAGAACAATGGGGAAAAGCCCTAACCCTGTAGTTCTCCTTTAATACAGTTCATGGAAAGATGGAACTTAGAATAGTAAAAATAAATATGGAAATTTTAAAGAACAAATTTTATTTATCTGTTGGGTTCAATTGAGGTAATTTCAGTCCAATCTCCTTCTGATGAATCAAAACCACCATTTTATGTCTTTCATTGCTTTGTGATTTGGACAAAAAAAAATGGTGTCAAAAGTTTGGCTGCTCTTTAAAAATTGCCACTTATATGGCCAAGTTAACCATTTTTTAGCGGCTCAATTATGTCAATAGCTCCTACTGAATTTTGTCAGCTGAGTCATGTCAGACATAGTTCGTCATGCAGAGGACAATGATCCTTTGACTTGACTGTATTCCAGGTTGTGGCAACATGTGACGAGCGCTATCCACGATGGAAACCAAAACCAGGCTACGGACGAGAAGTACATTCTAGAGGATGCTCAGAGAAAGGCTGCAAAGGAGCGAAAAGATAAAGATGAGGAGTGGACGCCCCAGTTGTTCCTATATGATGACTCCCAGAAAGAATGGAGCTATAAGTATGAAGAGTAAGTGGTTAGAGAAGTTAAAATGGCCACAAAGCCTGGACAAACATTTATTATTTATTATTATTACATTTATTATTATTTAAGTAAGAAACATATATGCAGGGCAGTCATAAAGTCCTTCACTGGTTTAAACTTTTTGTTTCAAGCTTTTTATTAGATTTTTCCAATACAATCAACAAGCGGTATACTTTTAAGATCACATTTTGCGCACAGGCACAAGGCTTATTCATGCATTGAAATGTCATGTGATGTATCTATTTAGATATACACTTTCTGAACCTGTAGACAGCATTGTTAAACAAGAAATAGAAAGAGCCGCTCCCAGAAGGAGCTAGGAGATGGAGGGAAGAAGAAAAGTCCCGGAAGTCCGGGGGAGGAAGGATGTAGAGGGGTCAAAGAGGAGGCAGTGAGGTTCTACGTTCAGCGGAGGAGGGTCTGGAGTTAAAAGAGACGTCAGACTGTCCGGGGATAGAGTAGGGTGTGCGTAGTCAATCCATGGCTGCCAGATCCTCACAAACTGTTTGTTAGTATCCAGAAGAATACTTGTAAATTTTTCATTTAGGAAGAAAGAGTCCATCCGCCGTTTGACTTCATCAAATGACACAAATTGCTTTTTCCAGGCTGAGGCGATCACCTGTTTAGCAGCCAGCAGTACATAGGTGGTCAAACGGTGTTGGTCTCTGGTGAGGCTTGCGGGTTTGAGATGCAAAAGAGCCAACCAGGGATCTCGTGCTATTGATATAGAGAATAAGTTGCTCAATAATCTAAATATTTTAGTCCAGAATCTGACAATCATAGAGCATGACCACCATGTATGGAGAAGGTCGCCCCTTGTCTGACAGCCCCGAAAACAGTTGGCTGAGTGTGTTGGGTGGAGGCGGGCCAGTCTGGAAGGTACCAGGAACCATCTTGTGAGGGATTGAAAGGCAGTCTCCTGTGAGATCACATTAATAGTACATGTAGCTATAGAAGACCAGATCCGAGGCCAGGCCTCCGGTGTCGGGGCTGCCCCAAGGTCACACTCCCACTTAGTAACGTAGGTGTGTTGTGAGGGGGAGGTTAATGAGTTCAGGTGGGAGTAGACTAGCGATACCAGTTTGGGGGCTGTAGGGTTACGTCTGCAGACCTGCTCAAACATGGTCATGTCAGTCCGGGACTGGGATGGTGGAAGGAGCGACGTAGCCCAGTGTCGGAGTTGTAAGTACCGGAAATACTCGGACGTTGGGGGTTGCAATTTATCTTTATAATATTACTGGTTTAAACTTTTAATTGAATTGAACGTTAAGGTTGGAAATGCCCTAAAATTCTTACTAAACAGTTCTATTGTTTGTACATGTTTAGTTATTAAAGTTTTAACTGGTAGAAGAACTTATGACCACCCTGCACGTAGGAAGAGGGCTATTTGGAAACAATCTGTCTTCCCTTGAGACACTGAAATGATTATAGAACGAGGGCAGCAAATTTTTGGTTCTTGAGTATGCGTCGGGAGGGATGGGGGGCTTCGGAGCCTCCAAGTGCACAAAGAGTGCAGGTTACATCCAACAGCCATTTTTGGAAGGCTTGTGTCTAACTGAGAAGCAGCTCTTTTGGCAGAACAGAGCGAGCAGTGATTCAAGACCTTGTGTGGGTGTGCTCTATAAATAGAGAACAGAAAGTGGTAATAAAAGTAGAATACATTTATTGCTAAATAAAGTTTTAAAAAGAGGAGGGTACTAGTAGCTGAAAGTAATTGTGTTTTCTCTCCTTTGAGGGCCCCAGAAAAAGTGCTTACATGTTCCTCTGTGGGAAGTCCAGCTCTGGTCCAGATAATCATATACAAAATTAAAGAAATGAATAGCATAACTAATCTTCAGAGAAGCAAGGTAGTCATGTTAGCAGATCGCTGGGTCTTGCCACCTCACTCATTGTTGGCACTTGCCTTGTAGGCAGTGGCACTGCTACTGGCTCCGTCAATTGT